CAATGATCTGCATTGGATGGAGCACATGACGGGAAATAAATATTTATAAACATTAAACCAGGGGTAACCAATTAAAAATCAGCGGGGCGAATAAAGACAATGATCAACCAGTAAAGGTCCAGAGACATTTTTAATGATTTGTTACTTTAAACAGAATTAAACACCGAAAATAAATGAGGTGCTTTTGCATCTATGTTATAGATTGAGTTTTTAAATAAAAAAATAGGAAAAAAATAGAAAATTTTTCCATTTTAAAATCTAGTGTTTTTTGAAGTGGAAAACAACAATCGTTCAGTTTGGTATATAGACAATTTCCTGATGCACATACTGTATCTTTTAAAATTTTCTTTTTTCTGTCTTAATGAGAGCAGTGGGCTTTAGGCTGCCCTGCAAGGGTTAAACCTTGGTTTAAAATGAGACTAAGCCATTCTCAAGCACATATCAAGGTGCTCATTTTGAGCCTGGATCCAGATTTATTGTTGATTCTGTTCATGGTGGAGAATCCTGCTTCACAGCAGCAGGTTGAGCCAAACATCCTCTAAATGTTCAGGCTCCGCTCGGTCCGGCAAGGTCAAGATCAGCTATTACAATCGCACCAAACAGGAAAAAGAATAGTGAGAAGATAGGTTTTTCTAATTAAAACATAGTAACAACAGATCGGTAACTACAAATTAGAGCATAATTCTTTTATATTTCAAAAAACTAACACTGTTCATTTCAAAGATTGGATGCAAACTATTGGTACTTCATCAGACCAGGAAACAGATTTGTCATCTCCATCAGAAACCGCACATATGCTGGATGCTGATGGGGATTTTTCTGTCATATTAAATTAAGCGTTAATTTCTGAATGTTCTGCTCCTACAAATTTTATGGTAATATTGCGCATGCTCTCCTTGAGCTCGAGGATAAGTCGGAGCGCAGCAATACCGGCGGAACAGCGGTAGGCTTTGCTTTATACAGGAGGTCTGGAGCGCTTTGGGGCGGAGCGGAAACGGAGGATGTGGGATTTCAGGGTAACAGGAGAACGTTTGGACACAGTCCACAGACAACATGCTGTAATTTATAAATGTTTTAAATCAGGTTGGGTCCGGATTAGCCAGCAGGGGCATCCGGATCCGGACTGCGCTCCGCTAATCCATGACCTCTGCATTAAACCGAAGCCAAGAGTAACGAGTAACGTTTGCTTTAAAAATGTAAGGAATAGAAAGTACAGATACTTGTGTGGAAATGTAATGAGTAGAAGTCAGAAGTAGGAGGATTAATAATTAATGGAGTAAAGTATAGATACCTAAAAAGTGTACTTAAGTACAGAAGAAGTATTTGTACTTCGTTACTTGACACCTCTGGTGAGAAGAAACATTAAAGCACTTTGATCAGTTTATTTATTCTCAATAAACTGATTTTAATGATCAGGAAGCAGCAGCAGTCTGTAGTTTTCCTTCGTTGTTATTTATTCTGGGTAATGCTTTCTAACTGATATATCTCTATGGTCTGCCAGTGTGCTCTACATCTAACCCAGAAACACTGTAGCTGTAGGTTTAAATTCCTCCTGTTGAATCCTTCAGTCTTTGATCTGCTGACAGGAACATTTCTGGATGCTTCTGATTCTTCATCCACTCATTTGACTAGGCAAAGCAATAGTATTTGTATAGCACAGCTAAGTAGATGGACAATTCATTGTATTTGGATTTGATAATAAAATAGAAGAAAAATAAAAGCTAAATAAAAGCAACTAATACTATCTCAGTTAATATTCTAACTCCAACAGTCAAGGGCAGCTCTAAACTAACGTGTTTTTAACTCTTTGGTCCAGATCCATGGAGCATAGATGCTGATTCTTCACATTTGGTTCTAGTTCTGGGTGGACAGAGTAGGCTGGAACTAGGAGACCTGAGTGGTCTGTGAGGTAGATCCACTGATAACAAATTTGTTATTGCTTGAAGTGCTGATCTATTCAGTGATTTCTGGACTAACAGAGTATTTTAGAGTCTATCCTCTGAGCTACAAGGAGCCAGCAGAAGGACTTCAGAACTGGGCTAATGTGCTCTACTTTCCTAATTCTAGCTAGAACACGGGCAGCAGCGTTTTGGACCAGCTGTAGCTGTCTGATGGACTTTTTAGGCAAACCTATGAAGACACTGTTGCTGTAGAGGTTAATCTTTACATTCATTGTTTCTTCTTCATTTCTTATTTAACCTCTTCATTAAAATGACTGGCACAGAGCCTGTTTTATGCGTGTAACAACCTTATGTCGCAGCATGGTCGCACCCGTGAGTCTTTTTTTTTCTCTCCACAACACAAGTACAAATTTTTTCTTCATGGGCAATACAAAATCACAGCGCCCTCTACAATCAAATGGATATAACATCTTCTTTACAGAAAATCTCTAAATCTGCATAACAAAACAAATGTATTTGTTCTCAAACTGCTTAATACAAAGCAAAAACACAACACATTAATGCATAAGATAAATCAGTTATTGATGTTCAAATTTCACAAAATGACGCTTACAGTTGCAGTAATTAATTATACAAAAGATAAATGCATGAATGAGTTTTTCTAGATCCTGCTGGACATTAGTCATTTAATCCTGGGGATGTTCTTCAGGTAATAAAATGCTGACTCAGTAAGTGCCTTTATGAGCCTCTGAGGGTTCAAGTCTGAGTCTATCATGACACCAAGATTTTAGCCATAATCAGTGGTTTCTAGCTGTAGGAGCTGAAGCTCTGACCTAACTCTGGGTCTCTAGTCCTTTGGAGAAAAAAAAGTATTGCCCAAGTTATATTTTTAACTCAGTTGGAGAAAGTGATGGTGCATTCACATATGGATCTTTTCTAAGCATCCAGCAAACACTCTGATGGGCTCGTAGTCACCTGGTGACTCGTCGTCTCCCGCTTTATCCGGAACCGGGTCGCAGGG